ACAAAGCACATAGAAATTCAATACCACTGGATCAGAGAGGTTGTAAAGCAAGGAGCGTTGATTGTGAAACATTGCCCAACTACTGAAATGATGGCTGATCTCCTAACCAAGCCTTTAGGACGACAACAATTCTATTATCTGCGTCAACTTCTTGGTTTGAAGCATGTTTCTCCCTGAAGTCCTTGAGGGGGCGTGTCGTGGTATTTGTCATACCACGCTTTAGAGTATTCAAATTTATATTCAATTGCCTCAAGATATCAATTATCAAGGACTTCCGTTCGTTTCAAGTTGAAGATTTAGACATAGGTGAATATGTGGCAAGATGTTAACGAAAGAGAGTGTTATGATTGACGAATTTAGTGTTGGTTAGAGTGTGCGCGGTTTTTCTTTCTTATTTGGGAATAGGTCGTATGTGACCTGCGGTGTTTCTCTTTATATTAATTAATTTCAATTTGTGTGTGCAATGAACATCTTTACTTAAGTACAACCGCTGTGTGCTGAAGTTTCTTCCCCCATCGAAGAAACTATTTACTTTTTATTTTTGCTCTTTTTACGTTTTACTGAACTTGCCCGTATCCTGTTGCACTGCGCACAGGTGTGTTACTGTTTTTAGGAGCTCTTGTGAAGCTACCTGGCTTGTTGCCGTTGTGCTTACGCTGCGCCTGATTCCCCAGGTGTGTTACTGTTTTTAGGAGCTCTTGTGAAGCTACCTGGCTTGTTTCCGTTGTGCTTACGCTGCGCCTGATTCCCCAGGTGTTTTTATTACGAACGGCAAAAGCTTTTTGCTTCACTGAACTCTCTATCATTTCATTCTGGACTTCGCTTGTGTAGTTTGCTATCTAATTTGATTGCCATTTTTGCAATGTCCTCCACTTTTTCAAATTCATCTCTAACCATGTGTATAGTGATTTCAGATTTCAATCCTTGTTCGAATTGTGAGATGAGTATGTCTTCTGGCCATTTAACTACGAGTGATAATTCCGAGAACTTGATCCAATAATCTGACACATCTTTAGTTTGTTTCAACTCTCTTATTTGTCTCTCTGCTTTACTAATTCTTTCAGTATCATAAAACGTAGCCTTAAACAATTCAATGAATTTACTCCAAGTCACTAAATGTCCGTTGTCTCCATCTAAAATCTTATCCATTAGGTGCTGTCCCCAGATGTTTGCTTTTCCTGTTGTATAAGATAGTGCGAATGCAACTTTAGCATGATCATTTGCAAAGGCCGACGAATTAAGTTGTAAATAAACACCCAATTGATTCAAGAATATTTCAGCTTTAGAACCTTTCAAACCATCAAATTTGTCAGGCGTAGGCGTAGCCACCTTGGGAGTTCTTGGTTGGACAACATGAGATTGTGGCGGCTGGGCAGGGGCCGAAGACATTGGAACATTTGGCATTGGGGTTGTACCGGCATTAATATCTGATGTAGACGAGTTTCGCTCCTGCCTTAGCTGATGCAATTCCTTCTCGACTTGTTGTCGGCGGTTTGTTTCTTCCATAAGCCTATTATTCAGATCAGCTAACTGTTTCATCACTTCTTCCATGTTTATAGTTGTCATTTCATCTACTGTACTATTGACTTTGGTGAAATTATCTTCTCTCGACAACGAGGAGTCTTCTTCGGGAGGTTTAAAGTTTGGCGTCTTGGCGGAGATAAGCAGGAAGATTGCGGGGTATCGTTTAGGATGCGTGGAATCTGAGAGATGATAAACTTTAATCTAATTGAGTTTGGTGAATCTTTTAACTTTAATTTACTTTGAACTTTTGATTTGAATTTTCTTCTTCTCTCAATTTCTCTTTGACTTCTTCTTTTGACTTTGATTTACTTTGACTTTCTTCTTTCTCTTCTGGAGCTTGTATCCTAAGGTGAGACGTTGCAATATGTTAGGACCAGAGGAAAGGATAGAGCTATGAAGGGCTTGTTGCTAGTATGACTAGATTGCAACGTAAGGAGTAAAAGCTCTGAGCGGACGAGCACTCTCTAATAGCTACATGGTACAAGTATGTGTATAAGCATATGCTATTAGTTAGACCATAACATCCTGAGGAAGCGGCAAAAACAAAGATATGTAAGGTTCTGGGTATTCAAGGGTGGGCAAGAACAAAAGTACCTGAAGAAAACCTACGTGCCGTTCCAAAGAGCAAGCCCAAGGCACCAAAGCAGGAGTTTTGGCTCCATTGGTTGGAGCCAATGCCACATTTTGCGCAATGACTGTACTGAGAAGCTTGTCAAGCTTCTCAGTCAGCTTCTCAGTCATTATGTCCATCTTGTGGGCCCTGTTGGACACATTGAACTGGGTTTTTGTGTGAACGGAAGCAAGGGCAATGTGCTGAGGAACACTCCCATATGCCTTCAAAAGCAAAACAACATAGAGGAAAAAGAAACAAGATGGTGTTTCTTCAGTAGGTTGATTGGTCTGGTCAGTAAAAACCAATAAATAAAATGACCTCAGCATGTTTTTTGTGTGTGCTCTTGATGGATTGGGTCCAAGCCAGCATCCATGGCCAAAGTGTTGAATAAATTCAACTCCTCCAAACAAAGAGCTCACAAGGAGCTCACAAGGTCACAAGCTCTGTGGTGAACTCATTCCAATACGGAGAATCTCCTTTGAATTTGTCTCTATACACCTAGCTACAGTGTGCTTTGCCCAGTACCTTTACAACTCTGATATGACTCCAATTTTGAAAAAGAGGTTCATTCTGACCTTTATGGAGGACATGGTGTTTTGATGGGCGTTATCTGTGCGTAAATTACATCATTCTCTTTTTGCTCTTGAAATAATCATAGAACTATCTATCAAAAACATTGATAGAATATGTTGAGATATGAAAAACAAAGAGATTTGAACAAAGGAACAAGATCATGATGTGAAGAGATGAGAAGATGTTCAAAGTGATTCAAGGAACCTAAAAACTCTTTGGGTAATGTCTGTTTTTGCATCTCAATATGGATACTATACACTATATGCATTTGTAGTTTTTCATCTTTATTTGTTTTGTGAATGGTGATTTTTTGAAATATTGAAGTATGTTTGATGATGAATTTGAAGTGAATGTTCTGTTGCAAAAATCATTTTGAATATTCCAATCCTAAGCCAGAATTAGTGTTACTTAATTAGGAACTCAAGGCTTGAGATCTCCTTGCATCAAACCAGCTGAGTAGGCCTGTTGGATGCTGCTGAGACACTTACAGGGTTTTCCAATCAACTGACAAAATATGTTCACTCTGCGCGCTATAAGCTTGAGTGTGTGTCCGCTCCATCAAAAGGAGAGTCAATCAAAAGTTTCTCCTAGTAAATTGAGTGTACGTATTTACGAGTTTGAATGCAATCCAAGCATCGAGAATTCTACATTCACTGTTTGTGATGAGTTTTAGCTCTAATACGATTCAAATGTGAATATAAGAAATTGGATAGATATCAATCTTTGAATAAGATCTTGGTGCTATAGATTATTTCAAATGGTCATTTGCAATTCCAGGTGAGATTACATTTGAAACTGAAATAAGATTTTTTTGACTTACCACGTACAATCACTACAACAAATGACATCTTTACCCGGGGTATAGAAAAGTAGTGTGGGCATAGAAAACTATTGGTAGAGTACTTTTCTATACCAATGAACAATGCTTTTGATACACCTATGTACAATATTTGAGATTGAGAAATTGAGTATTTTCTTTGCGCTGACTCAGCTGTATGTATTGGGACCCAAAGGCAGTGTTACAGTGCACAGAATCTCAATTTTCTGTTTTTTGATATTTTTACCCCAAAATACAATTCTATGCTGATACAAGAGATCTTCAACCATGTTCAGCATTGTATATGAGTATGTATGCACTGTGAAGATAATGTAGTTTTCCAAGGTGAAAAAAGATTACATCTAATCTACAAAATGATTAATTCTGCATTAATTCTGCATTATTCTGCATTAATTCTGCATTATTCTGCATTAATTCTGCATTATTCTGCATTAATTCTGCATTATCAATCATTTTGGTCATATGCAATCATTTTTCACCTTGTAAAATTCATTCTCTTTGCAGTTTATGCACAATCTTACACAAATTGACAGACACTCTCTACATATGTACAATATGACTGATGGACCATGCTTTCCCATGGGACAAGACTCAAGAAGGGCTTTGAGTCTAGATTTACAGTAGATTTCATAAAGGTTGAAATCAAGGTTTTTTGAAAATCAAGAGGTGGCCCGTGCGCCACCTGTGACAGGTCTCAAATATGCATACCAGATCGATGAACATACCAATTCTTTGGTGGCGCAGTGGTCAAGAGCCGTGGTGGGTGGTCCAACTTCCATGGGACTCCTGTGTTTGACTCATTGCCCTTATCTTTTTTACCACCGTTTTTTTGCCTAGAATCAAGAATGAAATGGCAACAAGCACATGCGAGCAATCACAACCAGCATAGCTTTCCCTTTCTTTTAGTTTATGACACCAAGCAAAGCAAATATGAAAAACTTGTCAAAAGTTGTGATGACATAAAAGGAAGCCACTCGGGCTCGAACTCAAAAATGTGCGCCTTATGAGGGTGTGCACACTCATGTAGAGGGCATTCATCCAACTGTGCCAAGGATTCTTTTCAGTCAATGTGTCTATGCTGTCTATCTCAACATTTTGGTATGCATTTTGAGACCTGTCACAGGTGGCGCACGGTCCACCTCTCAATTTTCAAAAAACCTCAATTTCAACCTTTATGAAATCTACTGTATATATACAGTCCTTGTGGTCATGTGAATATTTTCATCTGTGGGTATAGAACAGAATGGTTTGTCTAGGCATAGATGATACTATCTCTATGGATATAGAAGAGTACTTTAACCATAGTTTTCTATGCCCACACTACTTTTCTATACCCCTGGGTAAAGATGTAATTTGGTGTAGTGAGTGTATTCAGACACACAAGAAAAAATAAAAGTGATGAAGCACAAAAAAGCACAAAGGTCCAGCCTGGTCCAGCTCCGTCAAACTATACTAAGGTCCTCCTTGCCAATCCGGCTCGGTGCATAAACCATCATCGGGGCAAACTAAGCACAAATGATTGTTTTCAGCTAATCATAATTTTGATTGATTGATAAGATAATGTTACTGACACATGGCGGGCACATTTGAAGGATAGTACGGGCATTTATAAGATTTTCCTCCAGAGTTATGACAAACTGGAGATTGTCCATCAATATATGGAGAAAGAATCTTGAGAATTAGTCACTTTATGAGGAATGGGTGGTTCATGAAAGCCAAGGCTACTGACCAAAATTTTTTTGTCAGGATTCCATTCATATTTGACACCCTGTTGATTGCTAACACCTTTGTCATTTGATCTGACCAATTGACAATTCTTCATTGGAACCCACCTACGACCTAAAATTCAAATGCATACATCAGATGCTTGACAATCAATTTACTTGTACATGTTATGACAGGGGTATGAAGATCAGTAGCTGAAATAATTACCATTCAGAATGCATTCTGAAGATGGACATCGCCAAGTTATTATTTGAGGCCATATTTCACCTTTGACCTTACAATCTTCCAATATCAGTAATACCAAAACAGATGTGTTAACAGCGGGTGTAGGTTATTATAGAGCTATAAGACAATGAGGATTCAAATAAAAGCACATACTTGCATACCATTCTGAGATACGTTCAAACCCTACCTGGCAAGATAGGGCCCGCACCACCAGGCTATGAATCCACAGGGAGAGAAGTAGAAGGTAAACCTTTGGGAAGACGTAGGACATTTTGTTTTTTAGTATACTACTAAGAGAGGTAGTCAAGTTTAATTGAGGTATATGATAAAAGATTGATATCAGGGAAATTTGATAAGATGATGATGAACAAGTAGCAACGTCGAGCCAAGTCTACACTCCCATTTCAATGTTTTATATGACTTGAGCATGCTGGTCGGCCCGCTGCCCTCCCGGCACTGACGCTCACAGCAATTCCTATGATCACGGTGACAACTAAAAGGACCCTGGAATACGCCCCCAGGGGCTAGAGGTACCTGACGTGAAATTTGACCTTCTGTTAGCAAAGATTTTGGGCACCTCAAGATTTCTGAAAAAATGAACAAACCTTTCCAATTTCTTCCAGCCAGAGGGGAGCGCATCAAATTGATCATTGGGCCGATAGACTTGAAATTCAATCAGTGGTTTTATACATCAAGACATGAAAGATTCAGAGCAAGGGTTGCTAGCTTTTTGCGGGGCAAGGATAGTTCATAGGCAGCTTCCAGGTGTTCAGTGAGGTACACTGAGTGCCCAGTCAGTAATATTGAGCGTTCAGTGCTGCTTGTCTCCTAGTCTGCCTGAGCCTTGACTCGGACTGACGCACCATGTCTGTCCCCCATGAGCACGTTGATGTGCTCACACAGAGAGTTGTGTAATAAATTTGAACGGATCTTTATTCAATTTGTCTCTAGAAAATGCAAATCCTTTGTTAATAATAATAGACAATCAAAAATGTACCGTTTGTCAATGGAACTATGAACAAAGGAGCCCATTTAACACTCTTGCTGTCTGAACCTCTTGACAAAGGCAATTGTATGCTTAGCTCTCAGACCTGTTTGTAGGTTATATCCACCCTCTACCAAAATTGATTGGTGTGAGCACGTCGACATGCTACCTCAAAACAGACATGGTGACGAAGTTCAGCTTAGGTGATGTTCATGCAATCTTTGCCCTTTGTGTACATTTGTGACACAAAAATCACACAAACACGACACACTTGCCAAGACTGTTGGCCCCCGAGGTCAGAGGCCCTCTCTACGGGCACTGTGACCCTCTTTGCAATACGTCCCCTCCTCACATTCACCAAAATAATAGATCAATAAAAAACAAAACAGAACTAAAGAATCATTCATTTTCAAGAAATGAAATGACCAAAAAAAACAATAAACCACAACGATTTGAAAACATGAAAGTTGAGTTATAGTAATCAATAACCAGCAGCACCAGGTGCAGTTTCACCTTCACGTTTAAGACTTAATAAAACTTCTTTAAATCTAGAAAGATCATGAGTCGATTTAGATGTAGTCTTTGATCTTGAATCTTGTAAATCGATCAAATCAGTGATCCGTTGCCAGGTTGTACCTTGTCCTAATAAATCTACTCTCGATTGAAGGAAGGTAGCCTCTTGTTCCCTAGCAATCATCAATGAAGTACCAATAATTGGATCATGAGGAATCTGTTTGTCTGATGGCTGGACTGTGAACACTCGTGTGATGTGAGATTACTTACTTGTTACGTGCTATGTTTTTCTCTTTTTGAGTGTTGTATCCATGATAGAAATCATCGATTGCCTTTTCAGCTGCAGCGATAGTCTCTTCACGTTTGGCTGCACTACGTTCATCCCTGATCTGAATCTCTTCAGCCTGAGTTTGACGCCATTTCCTAAATGATTCACAAGCAGAAAAAGAATCAAATGGTCAATTTATTATTTAAGAAGAAATAGGAAGGTTTCTTGAGAGACAGAAAAAGCAAAGAGATAGGTTTGAACGAAACTTGATGTGCTCAGAATCTTCTTCCATTTGAGTTTGAGCGTAAACTGCTGGAGTATTAGAGTAAGATTGAGTAGAAGGATTTCCGTAAAGTGAAGGAGCAGGGGCACTGAAACCATTCTAGGAGTCACCAAACAAAAAGAAGAAAGGTATGGATCAGTAAATGATGACTTGTTGATATGATACACCCGCTTCGTGAGATATGTGCCAGAGGGGATTTACACCCTCAAGCCTGATGCATTGATTGAACCAAAAGATTGACTTTGTCAAGGTCAATTCAATCCTCATCTTGGGTATATCATATATGTGATCAACTTTTAAGAAAAATAACCTTAATACATAGAGTTAAACTAACAGTCGGAGCTAAAGCGGCTTCTTGACTTAAATCAGGATACTGTTCTTCAAATGAATTCAAATCTTCTGGATGATTACCACCACCGGTTACCGAGATTTGTGGTTGAGTGATCGAATTCGAAAGTCCCATATTATCATCTTCATAAGAACTTAAACCGAATTGATCTTCTGATTGGTTTTGTAAATTAGATGTAAGGTTTGAAGAATAATCTTTAGGTGTTTCTCCAAATTCTTCTCCTAATAATTCTCTTTCTCTTGATAAAAAATCGGATGTTGGATCTGTTCCTGTTGGTCCTGTTCCACTAAAGTCTTCTAATTCTGGAAAATCTGACATTTTGTTTGAGTTTGTTTGTTGGTGAGTTTGAGTTTGAGTTTTGATAGAATGCAGAGAGTGTATGGTTCTATGTTCTTTTGAATTTAATCTTGGTCTTATCGTTCTTTCTCTTGTTTGATTTCTTGATGTTTCTTTCTTTCTTTCTTTTGAGTGGTGATCGTCATTCAATCTGTTTACTTTCGATCGATCGGACACTTCTAGCTAAACTCGGTACCTTGCGTCATGAGCACGTGTAGACCTCGATACAAGCAAGCGAGGTTTAATATGCTTATATAGCTGCTGCCACATGTAACTTCACATGCAATCAATCTTGCACCGAATCAATCGTCTTCCGGGTCTGGCCTCGGTTTAACTTTCGTAGTATGACACTCAAGATCATCAACTCATAAAAAGAAACAACAAATCAAATCACTCGCATTCAACTCACATCCTCGAACACAAAAGTGAGCAGATATCTACATCACCTATTATCCGAATCTCATTTCAAAGTCGCTGATCAACTAACCCTGAATACATCAACATAGTGCCAGTACCATGGGAAGCATTCATCCCCTTCGGCAAGCCTCCTCAAGCTACACCTCATCCTCTGCATAACCTTCGCTAACCTCGTATAATCGATATTCGCTATTCGACAGGTCTCTTGACGGTCATGTTCACCGGAGCAGGAACACTTCTTAATACCACTCGAATGTTGGCCAATGATGGCAAGGTGGGTGAAGGATGTGTGAATTCTTGAAAAGCTCAGGACTTATGCATATACGTTTTATAATCTTTTGGTTAGCCTCCGAGATATGGTACTGATAAATGGGATGAAATGATGATGGAACGTGATCGAAGGTTAACTGGAAGTACTAGGGGACAAAGTGTAAGTTGTATAAATCAAGTCAATTTACAAAACCTATCACCACCGTTTTGATTTCTAAAATGCTAATCTTGAATTATTATTTTGGCTCGTGTTTTCTTTTCTTTTCTTGAAAAATGTACAAATTCAATGTACTTCTTGACAAATTAGGTTGAAGAGATTGCTCCACCTCAGTTTCAAACTAATTCAGCTTGGCCTATTGAAAAGGTTTTTTAAGTTGTATACAAATACATTGAATTATACTTTTGTTTTGCAATGACTCTTTCTACTGAAGACTTGCTCAAAATTTCATCACTTTTTATTTAGACGTTATAGGATTTAGGGATTGAAAAGTGTACATGGGCAGGTGTAGAGAGTAAGAATTGTGCTAAGACAAGAAATAGAAAGACAACCTCTACCATATACTAATTAACTCAGTCCTGGTTATGTAACCTCCAGCTCACTTTGAAAATCAACACAAAAACTCTCAGGTGCTTATAACAAGCTTTGTGAGGAATAGCTCAATATACATACCTGGAGTGTGGTTCAGAGGAATTCTGGTATTTTTATATGAGGAGAAATCATTTTCTTCCAGTAAACAATAGTCATGACGCATAAGGCACCAAATCAAAACCCAAATGACTAATTTTGAGGATTTTCATCCTCAGGCCGCTGCTGAAATCAATGTGAGCATATAGCTCCTAATGCATTTGTGGCTGGGAAGATGAGTGTGTCTATCGTGTTATATCTTCAACCCTGGGGGGTTTATGAAGGGGTTCACAAAAAAACCACTCTGTTAATTGACTTGTAAAGCCAAAGTATCAATACATCAAAAAGTGCATCCATGAGAAATGATGTAGTATATTTTTTAAAAGTGCATATGCATGAAAACACTATCTAAACATGTTAACTTGAAGGAGACTAGTATACCCAGGGGAATTTGACAATCTAGTTGGAGCAAAGGATTTTGCTGTGTTCTAATTTTCTAAAAAGCACCTTTTTCCCCTTTTTTTTAAAGAAAACCTCTGTGCAAGTGGCTGGGTTCAGAGATCTGCTACCAATGCCAGAGTTTTAGGGGTAGCTAGGCAGCAGGGTAGATGTGTGGTCCTTCCAGGTATGTCATGCTTTTCTTTTTCATTTGGTTTTATCTCAATGCTGAGTTCCTTTACTTTGTAGACAAATTCTATCTTGTTGATGCTGGATATGCAAACAAGCCCAGTTTCTTGGCTCCTTATTGTGGTGTACTTTATCATCTAAAAGAATGGCCTAAGGGAGGCCCAAAGATTATAAGAAACTTTTCAATTTGGCACAGTCAAGTCTTTCAAACATGATAAAGAGGATCTTTTTGTTATGGAACAACAATTTGAGATGCTATCCAGTATGCACTTGTTCCAAATTTATGTAGACACAAGAAATGTTAGTTATTGCCTTGTGTATGTTACACAACATCATAATTAGGACTGGTGGTGTGGCTTTCTTTGCCAATGAAGATGAAAGCACTGATGAATGAGCTCAGCCTCAATATGTGGAGCCTCATTGAGTGACCTCAAATCATCTTTGGATTCAGGCTGTTGAAACACAAGACCACATGGCCATGGAAATATGGATGTATATATTTCTCATCCTTGGTGTTGAGGCTAATTGCATAATTGTGTAAAACAAACAAACATACTTATTTTCATTTTATCTTCAATCATTGCTGTTGCTGTGGGATTGACTATGTTGGTGGTTTAAATTTGGTTCAATATCATCTCATGCCAAAGTCTTAGATCAATTGGCATTGTCAATGTCATGTCCAGATGGTCCAACAGATCACTGTGTCTGTATAATTTTAGCACCTCAAAATGCAGACACAAAGGACTTTTCTTAAACCCTGAAAAGACCCTTTGAAGAGGTTCAAAAACAGACACATCTTCCCCTGATCAACTGGGATGTTGACACTCAGACTGCAGTTGACCCCAGCTGCTGACAGTTGATTCCACAAATATTATAACTAAATCATTATTAACAAAGGGTGCCCAACAACAATCTCAGTCTACATGGGACCAAACTATTTTGAGATTTGTTTCAAATCTCTCTGTGCGTGCATGTCAATGTGCTACAAGGATATTGACATGGTGGATATAGTTGTGTTAGGTCATGCCATCCATGATCTAGGAGATAAAAACATCAATTCTTACTTTGATACCCAGTGGCACACTATGGAGGGTAGGATGTAAAATGGTCGTTCAAAATCAGAATCATTTTCCAAACCATTCTTGTTCTCAGCTGGTAAGTTTTAGATTAGATCAGTTGGTAAAGTCTGAGTTCCAACAATACCTTCAGCAGAGGTGTTGATGTCAACACATAACTTGTTCACAAGTTTATAAAGTCAAAACAGTTTTGTCTCATAGATGGCAGAGCCCTTGTCCTTCTAAAAAACTCAAAAGATGAATGTAGTCAGCAGAGAGTTTGGCTACAATCAATTGGAAATACATACACCGCGTCCAAATCAGACCGTCTTGACGTCAAGACGGTCAAAAGGCCACAAATTATCAGAACTTTGTCAGAACTTTGTCACTCGACAAATGCCTTAGCAATTGCTGAGGAATACTTGATCGTGAAGCTCTCAAACTGAGGCTTGCTTGATCCTTAGGGCCTCAGTCCCAGACTCACTCTTGGCTGAGATGCTTGAATTCAAGAGTTCAACCTGTTCATTCACTTCTGAAAACGCTTTTGATCAGAATTTGCACATTGCCTATGTCCTCAAAAATATATTTGAATACCGATGAACAGGGAGGCGGTACAACGGTCTTCCTCGCGTTTCCTGATTGTCTACCCGGCTCTCGGTACCCAGCGTCTCGGGAAGTGATGCATAGAGAAAAGTCCAAACGTCTTGCAGCTCTGAGTCTGGGTCAGTCATCAAAGATCATCTCAAGATCAGTGCTTTCAGAAGTAAAATCAGATTGAACAAGGACAGAAACAATTCATTCGGATCCAGGTCTATCGAATGCATCAATGGATGGACAAGAAAGGGAAGAAAGACCATGGCGGATGGCACGACATCAGATGGTTGACCAAGAGATGGAATTAGAAGATATTAGTAATGATGATTATCCAAGGATCAAAAACATCAAAAAAATCTTTGATCAGTCTCCTAATAATAAGTTTGTTTCGATGGTTATTAAATTATTCTTCAATTGCTTGGTCAAATGAAACTTGGAGAATTGGGTCCGATAGGATTGATTGGGATCATCAAATCATACATGTTACTGGTGGCTCCGATGGTTTAGTTAGAGTAATTACTGAAACTTTGGCTATTAAGAATATGAGGTTTTTTTGGGATATTAGACCTCTTACTGCAAATCCATCTGACTCAGGTTAGCTTTTTTTGGTTATGGACTCACTATTATTCAAATCAAGCTTGTCATTGACTTTGGTTGTCTTTATCTCTAGATGTCCATCACTATGAGTGCGACATATCGGATGCGAAAGCTGTAGAAGCTGTAGCTGATCGAGTCACAAACGAAGTAGGAGATCCAACAATCATTATCAATAACGTTGAAGTAGCGAATGGAACATTTATCATCGATCTTAATCCTAGTGAAATTCAGCGGTTTGCCACTTTGTCTTATAAACAATCTCATTGGAAATCATAACTGACAATCACGATGTACCTCTTAACCACTTTGTAGGAGCTTTGGAGTGAATATAATGGCTCATTTTCACCTCTTGAAGGCTTTCTTACCAACATTAATTGAACTAAAGAACGGATACATCGTCAGTACGATTTCTATTGTGAATCTTGATATCATCACTAAACTCATCGCGATCATCTGTTTCTACTTGTTCTTGTCATCTCAGGTCACTGTAGCTTCAATTTTAGGCACTTTTGGCGTCTGTCAAGCTTCAGATTACTGTACTTCAAAAGCAGCTGTTTTGAGTTTACATGAATCACTTGAACTAGATTGTAGGTTCCTAAATATCCTCATTCCCACTGTATCTTTCTTTATTGAGTGAACAGAAAGATAGTAACATGAACCAAAAAAATGAATATCAGTGTTCAGGGGTTCGTGCCACTTAAGTAAGTCCAGGTAGATTGGAAACCAAAATGTTTGGACCCTGTAAGTTTTATTATTATTTAAGACCTATCGAACTATTCAACTTCCAATCCAAAAAACTAATCAAATTTTGCTAGAACTTCTCATTAAGAAGTAAGACCACAGAACCCATTTTTATTCCCACAAGTTGTACCTCATGATCTAGCCAAACTGGACATTTGAACATTAGGTTCATAAGTTTATCTGAATCATCAAAGTGTTTCCTTCTTGGTTGAAAGATTTGGCTCATTGGTTTGCTGGCTCTACTGAGGCTGTGATCGATTTCAATAAGTGAAACCAGTCAGTTTTGGGGGATAAATAGATTGTGTGTGTTTTGTGCATACCTTTTTTTCAAAAAGTAGTATGAGGCACCACAAATGGCATTAGGTGTAGTTCCTTTATAATATTTGATTGCTTAAGAATCTAAAGAATGAAGATTCCGAGCGATTTTTCAGTGTGATTCATAAGAAAGTCGATGATGTTATGAATTTGAGGGAAATTTTGAACACAAAAGTCTAGATGAAATCTCTGATTCCCTCCTAAAAAAACTCACAAGATGTGGAAAGAGAATAGTTCATCACATCACTCATAGAGTTTAGAAGTATTGGAATAGATAGAACAGTGGGCAGTGAGAACCTTCTCTTTTATTCTTTTAATTTACACTTATTCATTTCATTGAGATAAAATCCTTTTGGAGTAAAAAATCAGTCCTACTCACCGTGTCCGGGACGTTCGCTCTTCGACGAGCGCGCACGACTTCCCTTTCTGCCTCAAAGGGAGTTGGTGTGCGCTCGTTGACTAGCAAATCCTACACAGACACGGTGTACTAAGCATCTAAAACTGACTTTGATTCACAACTCTGGGATGTTAATTGGATATGGGTCCACATCAAACGATACAAAAATGTTTTTTTGACAATTTCAAAGGTAATGAATCATTTCATCTTAGCCATCTTGTTTTTTGACAGAGTGGATATACATTTCATATCACCATATGCTGTTGAAACGAAAAGTACACTGGTTTTCGAATCGAATGTCTCTCTAATTTGATTACTAGTGGAGCTGTACAGTGTCCCTGGGTGGCCATACCCAGTATTGTATCTGGGCAGAGGCCTTTGGATCACCCGTCTGTTCATTGGTACACCTTATTGAGCAGTGTGACATGGTAAAACTTTTGTATCGGTCCAAGATCTCCCTCAAGCTATTTGCGCAAGATTATGCCAGCAAATAAAGCACAGGTTTTGAACCCCATATACCCTTATGATTTGTCTCTCAATGTCAATTGACAAGACCAAAACACAAAGCGTACCAGAGTCTTCCTATACACAATTTTGATTCAGTCTCTTACTTAGTGGTCTAGCTCGTTAGATCACTTGCTCATGATTTTAATGGTGCACTGCCTAGTTACACTTATTGTTGATCTTAGAGGTGTGCTCAGGTTTGGCTGAACTTGCCAATTGCTAAACAACGCAGCGGCCCTCTAAGGTAGCTCGGATCAAAGCTCTGAGCTCAGATTGAAGCTGCTGAACTGGGGCAGGGAACAATTGACACACTTTCTGAAGAACAATATGCATGCCTTCTGACTGTCTCGACGTTGAGACGGTCAGTGGCAGACGCAGTGATACCAATGTGTAATCAGGCCAAAATTATGGCCAAGTAATACACCTCCCAGTATCCTTGTCCCAAAGGTCAACTTCAATTTGCAAAAGACAATGTAGGCCTTTGTCAACTATGTAATATTATAAAAATAAATGGTCAACTAGAAACAAATAGAAATCAAAGGACTCACTTGTTGAAAATTGTTCTTTATCTGTCCCTCACTTGAAGGTTTTGTGTTGGTTTTTCAACACTTTAGTCCAGGCTTATGGCTTAAATCCTAAGACAAAACTCTTTCTGGCGAGCTTTTGGATGATCAAAGCATCAATAATAAGTTGAGTATTGGTGTGGCTGAAGTGTGGAGCTTGAAGTTCAACATCATTCTTGGGTTTTGGATCAGCTTTGGGCATGGTGCTGGTTTGGAGTTGATGGTGTTGATGGAAATGAGAAACAGAAAAATAGAGAAACAGTATATGGTAAGTCAATTAAGTTGAAAGAATCAAAACAAGTCAGATTTGGAAGAAAGTGGATTGAAAAAATGAAAAGGTAAAAGAAGCAATTTGAGCTGGAGTTGAAATAAAAAAACAATCTGAGTGGGAGTAGCAGAGACAATGGAGGTATAAAATAGTGAGGTATAGTAAGAAGAATTTGACAAGTCCCCTTCTCACATACAGAATCAAACAGAGGTAATTGGAAATAAGTGGCAAAAAGGAGATTGTGGATTGTGAAAATACCACATTATTTGGAGATTACTGTCGAATTGATGTGGTGCAATAATCACTAAGTTTGGGCTACCCAACACCCAGATGTTCCATGAAATTGACTTGATACAATTCAGATACCATGGTTAAAATTGCAAACAAATGGGTCCTATATTCAATGATGTTTGAGCATCACCACTTGGTTGTGTAAAACAACCAAAGAGTTGTGTATACATACTGCGTGCAAAAGAATTGTCTTGACAAGATGAAAATGAAGTTAGGAGTTTAGTCTTTTCCTGAATGCTTTGCAAGGTAACTAATCTCTCTTTTTTCTTATTTTTCTGCATGTATATATCAGGGAGCTTCATGATTTGCTATCGAGTCAATTCTAACAAAGAAGGTCCATAAGCCCAACAAAATGAATAAAAGTACTTGATCTCGGGACACAGGGAGATCCTTTGAGATTGAATTTGTCTTTTCTTGCGATATTGTAAATCGTCTTGGCGAAAGATCAACCCTGAGGATCAGAAAGACGAATGATTGGAGTTCCCAACCTTTCATTTGCTCCGTGTGTTTACAGCCCGGCCAATAGGTTTACTATAAAGGTAATATCTTGTTAGAGGTTATGAGGAGAGAATTATGAGGCAAAAAAAAGGCGGAATCCGACGGAACTTTTTGGGCCTTGCGTGTTTTCCTAAGTGCAATTTAGGAGGGTCCATGGAGCCGCCTTCCGTGCTAGTTTGCGAAAGTGGTGGATCTGGTTTAGATCCAATGCTGAATATGTGATCCTCGTAATCTAGGTGAGGAACAGCTTGTGAAATGGCCCGAGAAAGGTGCAGAGGTTTTGCTTCAATTTGAGAATTTCCCCGTTCAAGAAGTCTGTGATAGACGGATGCGTAAGCTATAGAAGTGGACAGATGATAATGGAGATAGAAATCATGTCTTATACGCTACTTACTTCCCCATTTCTGAGTCTCCTGCTTGTTCTAACTCAAGTGGCGAGGCTTTGCAAAAAAGGATCACTGCAAAGCAAAATGTTTGATGATGCGTTAAGATCGTTAGGGAATCACAAGATATTCGGGTGAGTTAGCAGACCACGCCTCAGAATTTTGACTAATCAAAGATTGATTACTTTCGTGAAAACTTACAGGTGAGTGCTAAGATGAGGGTTGAAGACTGCATGGTGCTTGTTGAGGTTGGTATCGCGTTGAGTGATAGGATTCAAGGATGGTATTTGTAAAATGAATAGGCAAGCAGTAAGGATTGCTGAAAGATATTGTATTCAGGTGTGATGAGGCGTAGGATCCAGGGACTTGTCTCTGAGACCGGTTACATATACTGCCTTGAGTTGATCAACTGCTCTATGACTCTTGACTGACTCAACCGCCTCTGGAGTTAGAGATTTTGATTCGAACGCCTCCAAAACGGGACTAGGGCTGGTCCAACTCGTCATATGACATCATCATGGCGGGGTCATCTATTGGTCATCCTCGTATCGTCTTTGATCTGCTTGCAGTCTTCAGGAGAACAAGCGCTTCGCATCGAGAGGCAATTGAAGCCCTCTTCAATTCATCAGCCTTGGACAGTTGCAATGCCTTCGCGAATGTCAATCATATATGTTCTCCAACTATGTCCAGCCACATGCTTATGAACTTACAACACCCCTAGTTTCCACCGCAAGTGCCTGTTGATTATAACTTTTCGCAGATGTAGAAGCATACAAGATTCGATCAGTTCATTGACCCGGATGATCCCTCAAGATACTATATATTTTACATAAATCTGTCGAAGATTTCAGTAACAGCTCAAAACACTGACCAAATTATTGAAAGAAGGGCATTAGAAGAATTTACGGCACATTTGCTCTGATGAAAGCTAGAAAGATTTATCTGTTCGTGTCTAGGAACTTTGCTGCGCCATGTGATCTTTCTTTGTCCTCTCGTCGCAAGATCGAAACATTTAACGCGAGATTATGTTAACAAAGTTGGAGTTGAGCTCGGTAGAAAAACAAGCAAATTAGGCTACACCGCGCTTATCGAAACCCATTCCATTTCCATATGCAATAGCGGTACACAAATATGAACACCTGACCTAAAAATCCATGGACAAAACCCATGACAACCTGATTGTTTTTTGGGTTTTGTCCAACGGGGAAGCGGAAAACCAAGAATGCATGAATTATCCCGTACTCATGATCAGCTCGTTTACCGGATGTGTTCTGGTCATCGTCTTGCAGATGTGCTGAGCCAGTGATGCTACATCATGAAGGGGGCCACGTTGGCTCACTCGCGTGACCGTAACCCTAGCCACATCTAAAGTCTCGCTCGCTACCACGTCAAAATTCGCCGCGTGGTGTATGTAGCTTGGACTTCCGTACCGCTCAGCGTCGAAGCTATCCATGTTCACACCACACCTTTGTAAATATGTCATTGTTGCGAGGACCTGGCACGAAAGTTGAAGTCATCATCTATGAAGAAGAGCTGATCAATTTAGTGCGTCATCCGATTCCCGTTGTTGGGGTGGAACTTGATGGCTATTGCTCTACGTACTGACCGGCCGCCCCACTCGATATGACGTCGGTCTCATTTCATATCCCGCTGATTTACTTGGTAGATCATAATCGAGGGGTTGATGTGAGTTTGAGAAAACTACAAGTTCCCAACCTCGATCGCTCCCAAGGATTCAAGACAAGTCTACCATGCGAGCGTTGTCGAGAAGGGCTGGCATATTGGTGGGAGGATGGATCATGATGTGAACTCCAAGATACATAGTAAGCGAGGTCGAATTACGACCAACAAACATCGAGGCGGAGTGCAACAACCATCTTTGAGTCTATAAAAACCCTACACCTCAGTGAAAACGAAGTATCCATCCAGAGCATCAGTCAAACCTGAACCCATCGTACTAGCAAAACCTCACTTCCTCTTTCAAACCTTTCAGACATTTTTAAAGCCTTGCGCTTCTATTCCTGACTTTGATAGTGTGTCACCTTGTCTGAATACATCCCTCTTTGATCACGACTGAGTCTCCTTCCAATTCCTTCGGTCTACTTTCTAAATTTTTGTGACTACCAATCTCCATCAATATTCCGCTTTGAAAGTTGCAGTGCAGCTCTGTAACTCTTGAGTCAGTCACCACCTTCATTGGACTGCGCAACACCCTCCGATGTGGTTCCAACTAATCATTCTTTCTCCGCCTAACAGAAACAAAAACAATCAAAAAATGCAGCGCATTCTCAGTCTTCCTATCTTGGCCATCCTCGCCTTGGCTCTTTCCATTCTGATCGTGAATGGAAGTCCAGAGATCAACAGGCGTCAACTGGTCAGCTCATAGGTTCTTTTTACTTCCATTGACTCTAGAATTATACTCATGACCTGTCTCATCATGCCCTCGAACTCGACTTTGAACACCAAGACGCCAGCTGCGACTAACACCACCACCACTACCAAACCGACATCTAACACCACAGCCACATTACCCACAGCAGGCTCAACAAACCCCACAACTTCGTCGGCTCTTACCGACAAGTCTGCCAACACCACAAAGACTGCCGCTCCGGTAAGTACACGTTCCATGATTGAGGTTAGCTTTCTTCCTGGAACATGCGCTTATTTTTCCCTCTGGCATGTTCCTCCTTTTCTATATCTCAGGTTGGAGCGAAACACAGCAGCGTGGGCCAAACCAGTTCCAATTCCATGGTCACTTTTGCTATGGCCTCGTTATCAATCTGTGCTGCCATCGTCGCTTAGGGAATTCAGACTGAAGAGCGACAAATGCGCAGCGATTACCTGAATACGGAACAGTGGCGATGGGATTTTGCACAACCTGAAAAATGTTCACCCGTCACTTTGTGTTTCTTCATCTCTCTTTATTGTTGTTCGTCTCTAGCTAGCGTATTTTGTTTCTTGTCATTCTTTGTTTTTGAATCGGTTAGGTTTATTCCCGTATCTCGGATGTTTGCTCTGGTAGCTTACTCTGCTGTTATATGTAAAATTACGGGGGAGGAAGAGATGTGTAGCAAACAAAAGCTTGAAAAATCAACAAAATTAAAAAAACGGACACCAAATGAACTAGTAGAGTGAGAGTGAAAAGACCATCTTCTGCATCCTTTGCTCATTGAGATGAGCAAGGTGATGAATTTTGCAATCGAATCATGACACGCGCAAATATCATTTCTCGGGATGAATGAGCTAAGAGTGAAGATACGTAAGTTGAGTACAAGATGAGGGTCAAATTCTCCGAACGAAAAAAAAAACGAAATGACATTAACAACTAAATATGACACGAAGCCTACCCATCCCAAACATCCCCGTTATGTCGAACTCAAGTGCAAGGAATGGATTACAAAACAGCAGGTTCCAGCTTTGATCAGGGTCCATCACGGACACACATCAGCACTGTTTGATGGTGCTCGTGGGCTGGTGTCATTAGCGGGGTTCAAGTTGAAAAGATGCCTAAAATACAACTGTCCTTACATAGATACTACTGATAAATTTTGAATTCTAAAAACACTATTGACAAGCCCCACCTGAAAAGGATATTCCTAGCAATTTATCTTTTGCAAAAAAACCAATTTTGAAGGGCAAGGAGGCCGAAGTGCACAAAATTTTAGGTTGGCCGACTTGAACCCCGCTATTAGGTACCAATTACTTGCGGGAAATGTAGAAGATTGTCAAGTCAGACCATGAATGAGAACATGTGATGAATGCCCCTTGGTTTGATACCCAAAGGCGATCAATTTCTTCAAATGCTACACTTGAAAACACTCCACAGGTTGACTAGCGGCCAAGTCAACTAAACAAGTAAACTAAGTGTATAGACCATCAAAAAGGAGAAGAATCAAAATAGTTGTGCATTAATATGAACAAACACATAAAAAATCTTGATAAAATAAAATGAATTGACATGAACCTTCAAGAAAGACAAAATAAAAAAAGTGGGACATGATATCAAATTCTTGAATGGCTGTGAAAACATGTTTCAACCATTCCATCAAATGAGACAACTCAGCAAAAAGAGCGGAAAAGTTTTTGCTGACACAGCAGGATGGGAGGGTAATGAAAAATGACAGCGGATGACCGTTTGATGAACGATGACTAAAGCAGTGAGGATGAGAAGGAATCTTAGGAGAATAATCGAAAGGCGAAGATGGAGCGAAAGAAAGGTGATGACGTAAGCTGTGAATGCACAAAGAACCCGACCCGCAAGCAATGAACGACATGTGACCATGATGCCCTCCAATTCCCAGATTCCCCCGTTACCAAGTTATTATTTTCGACATGGTCACCGACACAGTGAACATCTCAGCACATTCTCATAGAGAACTTGAACAAAGACCAACATCCGATGAGCTGGTACTCGATATGACGTCTTCTTTCATTATCCACTGGTTTACATAATGCTGATAGATCAAGATCGAGGCGCTGAGGCGAGTAAAGAAAACTACAAGTCCGGATCCTCGGTTGCTTCAGCGCTTTTGGCAGCTCAATTCTACACATATTCGAGCGTAGTCGAGAACGGCCAGCGTGTTGGTGGGATTTCGTATCATGGTTTGAACTCCCACTCCAGACAGATCGCAACGACCTCGAATGACGACAAACAGAGACTAGGAGAAAGGTTTTGTCCCAGGGCCAAGAGACGGGGTGCAACAACCATCCTTGATGGCTATAAAAGCCCTGGATGGAGCCCCATCAATCTCCCCAAGCATCACTCAAACCAGAATCCATCGTACTTCTCTAGCAAACCCTTACTAACTTTTTCAAATAAATTGAGCATTTTCCAAGCCTTGCGCTCCTTGCCTTGATTCCCATATTGTTACTTCCCTTGAATCCATTTGCCTCTTTCATCACAACTAAACTTCATCTAATTTCCTTCAACCCAATTACCAGCTTTTTCGCTATATACCAACATCAATCTTTAGCTTTAAAATTTGTAGTGCAGCTTTTTGATTTTTGAGTCAGTGTCCATCTACAACACCGCCCAGTGTGATCAAAACTCATTGTTCTTACTCCGCCTAGCAGAAACCTAAATAATCGAAAAAATGCAGCGCATTCTCAGTCTCCCTGTCATCGCCCTTCTTGCCTTGGCTCTTTCCACTCTAATCGCGAATGGAACGATCGACCGACGTCAAACAGTCAGTCCATATTTTTTTCCTCCTTCCGCTGAATCCATGATCATACTCATAATTAAGCTGTCTTGCAATCCAGGCTAACACGACTTTAGACAGCAAGCCCCCGGCAACCGCCACTGATATCAAACCTGTGACCGCTGACAGTCAATCGACAGGCGCTGAGACTCACCCTACTGGTAGTGCCAACGCCATCGATTCTAAAGGGTCATCAAACACCTCAGCATTGCCATCTACAGGAGCAGCAAGCACAGGAGGGTCAACCACAGCATTGCCAACTACAGCAAGCTCAGCAAACCAAACAAACTCGCCCCTTGGTAATAGTAGCGAGAAATCTGCCAATACCACAAAGACTACCCCTCCGGTAAGTCAACCCCTGCTCTTGATTTGGAGTAGTTTTCTTCCTATGACTTGTACTGATCTTACCCTTTGGAATACCTCTTCCTTTTTCTTTGTCTCAGGCTGGAGCGAAGCACAGCAGCGCTGGTCAAATCAGTGGCAATTTTGTGGCCACTTTCGTGGTCGCCTCGCTATCGCTCTTCGCCGCCCTCTTCACTTGAGAATCCTAAAATGTGGAGTGTACAGCAAGTACTCAAATACGGATCGTTGGCAATGTGGTCTTGGATTTCTTTTAAATTTTTCTGAACCTTTCTCATTGTTTCTTTCTCTCTTTCTTTACTCTTTTTCTTCCTTGGCTCTAGTTTCTTGCTCCTCGTCACTCATTGATCTTGTATCGGCTAGGTTTCCTTATGCTTTCGTGTACCACACATAACATCTCTTAAATGTTTGCTCTGGTAGCTTACTTCGCCAGTATATTCTACTTGTAATATGCCTCGCCATGGAGGAGTGTAGCAATCAAAATTTGAGATGTCAAATGGATAAAGCAGATTAGAAACGAAAGACATCGAGAAGGATGAGGGCATAGTTTACATCTGTTGATGAGCTAAATTATGCAATTGACTAAGAACACATGGTAAAATCATTTCACGGGATGAAGGAAGTTAGCGAGGACATGAATTAAGTACAAGACAAGTTGCAATCCCGGCAAAAGAAGAACGAAAATCAAATGACATTAGCAACAAGATATGACACCAAGCCCATCCATCTTAAATAACCCCATCATGTTAAAATGAAAGAATGAGTTGCGAAAAAAAAAAGGTTCTAGCTTTACTGCAAGTGTGTTGATCATCGCAGTTTGGCATCGAGTATAAATAAAGGATGTGATACACATCAGTCGATCGACATTCTAGAATTCTTGGATTGCTTTATGATACCTGTGGGCTGACGATTGTCATTACGTCTCCACCATTTACGGTGACCTTTGACACGAATAACCACACAGAGGACACATACATCTCAGCTCATTATCTATAAAGGGAAGAATTCTCAAAACTCACCAAGCTCACGCATGCCTAGCCCAAATGTTTTGGCACATATCTCTGAGACCACCATGACACATACCAGACTTAGAAGGCTGACAATCAAGAAGAATCGCAGGGTTCGATGGCCTGCGGAGAATTGGGGTTGGGGAACGACTTTGGCCAGAAGGTATGAGACATACGCCTGAGTCAAAATGCCCAGGATGGAGAAGCGATCGGATCAGACAGTTGACTATGTTTGGACGTGTTAGACAGACAGCAACGTACCAACATACAAAAGGAACCGAGGTGGGATAGCCAGAGTGGCCACCTGATCTCTTGACTAATCGCTATTGCTGCAGAAACCCTAATAGTCATCCAAAGACGATCATGTCAACAAAAGCGTAAAAAACATGGAAGAGCAGATTAAGTAGAGCAGCTTGTAAATGTATAGAAAGTGCTTGTACAATACTAACATGATGAATGTGCATACCAGCATAACCCTGAAGCGTAGCAGAGATCCAAGATCCAGATATAAGTCAATACGATTAGGAGATGAACAGTTTGGAAAAGTGGTTCATGAAACTTGATTGCTCCTGCTTATTTATCTTTACTCACGTGATCGAGGTCAAAGCTGCTCTCCATCCTACGTCTTGACCGAGGACCGCATATTGGATCATGGCACCCAAGAAGAAAAATGAATTGAATTTCTGTAGGATCGAAAAAACGGCCCTGTATTGACCAGCTCGTTTGAGTTGCATGTTTGCTCCCATCTGCTTATAGATGTCCCAACCTAGTTATTGAACCGAGATGGTCGTTAGAAGAGAATATTCCATTTCAGCGTAAGTCTGTCTTGAACGAAGTAAGATGATGCTTGAAGACTGAGTTCCAAACGGAACCAGATAAATAAACCACGTATCGTACCGAACTCTTTGTGGATGGAAATCGTTAAGATGGTCATCAGAAGCGTAGACGCGCCCATGACACACGGAACCACTTGCAACCAACCCTGAAGCTTTTTCATAGCAGGAATATTGGTCTCTTGTAACGCTTTCCACAGCTGGACGGGCAATACCTATCTCGACAGGTAGAGTTTTTGCCATTGTGGTTCAAGCAAAAGGATTGCATAAGTTCAGGATATGAAGGTATGAGGGGAAAGCACAGTAGATATTGAAATAGAAGATACGTACAGCACCATAGCAGGTCATGAACAAATTGAATGCACAAAGCGCAATAAGCTGGATTACGTCCTGCGACATGATCGAGTCCAAAACCTGGTGGTCACAAAAGAAAAACACATGAATGGAAATTAACAAAACGGGTTATGATAGTGAAGGGTTGCTCTTATTGAATATGAACTGACCAAAATGAAGGACAAAGCTGCAGCAATGATAAAGATGATCTACAATATGGTACACCAGAGATAATGGAAAATGAATGACGTGATCCACGTTAAATCGGTCTTCAGCTAATTATGGTGAGATCCTGGATGAATACCTCACCAAATAGGCAGATACGATACTGATTTCTGATCGCGAATCTTGAAGAGTGCGGCACGCGAAGGCGAGAATGGCCACAACGACGAGAGACTGTACAAAGGTGACCCCAATCAATCCAATCGAGTAGGCACTGGGAGCTTTGCTTTTAGATTGGATGCGCGTATTTGACCTGGGTTTCGGATTTGTTAATGGGTTTTGAGACTTGTGCGAAAATTCAGATCCAGGTGAGGATACAGAGCATCCATGAGTCTGATCCACTGAGGATCTCATCGATGAGTTCGATTGTCTAGCTTCAGCAAAATCACTTCGGGCACTGTGTGGCTGCAAGGAGTTTTCCAAGTCGTGCCCCCGTTCAATGTCTTTTTGATATAACGAAGCTGAACTTGAGAAAGGGCTATATGGACGCTCGCCTGAGCCGATCTTGGAGAAAGAATTGGAATTATGATATGTATTGGGTAACGGTAGACTCGGAAGTTTGAGGGAAGGTAGTGGTGCAACGAGGCTTGAGGAGGACTGGACGGTCTGGGTATCGGCAGCGAGTGGTTGTTGGTCGAAGTGATGCGTCAGTTGAGCAGCGATTTCTTCTGAAAAACTAGGCATCGCTCCTGGAGGTGGGTAGGTCAAAGGAGGAAAGTTTGAAGTGTCTATAAAAGTTGAGACGGTCAGCTACATGGGTATGAGAGAGAACTCAAAGGGAGAAGAAATGAATACCTGAAGCAGCCATTCACTATGAGGCCAATCAGAACACTTAATCCCTTCTGGATGTCCTTGCCCAGGGTGATGATTGGTATGTACTAGGCTTTGCGAAGGTTTTATGAATCAATCAACTATGAGAGCAACGTGGGTATTTATCAGCATATTGGTTTAGCTTTCAGTATTGTCTCATCGTCAAGCGTTCAAAACAACTTCAGAGTGTTGGATGCTATGCCAAAAGATTTGAAGAACCCAACCAACAAAAGGATTGGAATGGGTTCACCAAGAACGGTTCAACTGAAATGCCAAATTCTGAATTGCCAATTACCAAGAATAGGTTGGCGCTAATTGATATAGTACAACAAAGTGGCTGTACATCAAGGAGGCTCAACTTTCAAGGAGGACGATTTACAAAATCGCTCGTGCATCGATAGCATCCATTCTCAAGATTTCAATACACAAGTGACAGCTGTGGTCACAAAGTGCAGGTTTCGGAATGCTTTTATGTTGCAACATGCGACTCCTTTGGAAAGAACTATGTAATGAGTCGTAGGGTCAATTGGAATTTGTTCTTTACATGCGGAGTGTGTTCTGGCGGCTATCCTTTCAGAAAGAATTTATGCAATCCACTTTGAAAATTCAAGTCCCGGACCCAGGTGTGAACTGCCAAGGCACTTCTTAAAAATTGCAAGATGTTGCATATCTCGTCCCCTCAAGTGAGCGAATCAAAAGGTGGCAAAATGCAAAATCATGCATGATAACCTTATACATTGCAATGCCCGAGGCACGTCAGCCGAATGCGCCTATAGAGGTATGCACCGAAACTTGTTTTTCAGTTCTTGGGCTCTACACTTGTACACATCACAAATATAATCATCTTGCAGTCAGAATTTCCGCGGCATGAACACGGCTGGATCTGTTATCTGTTATATCGTTTTCTCAACCAAATCTTTTGAATTTCAGAAATCAAGGTCTTGATCCTATCTCTGTGTGTAGACGCAGCAATTTTCATGAGAAGGATGGCGATCAAATAGACTAAAACTAGTTTTCTGAGACTGATAGTCTGTCATTTTCCTACAGGCTATGTCATATGGACTTCTTATACTCCATGGCAGTGATTGTGACAGGATAGACTATGTATCAGCCTTTTTTATGTCTCCCTTGAGATCTGTTTTCTGTAATCTTTCAATCACAGTTAATATGCTTGTTATTGTGATATTCTGGTGCGTTTCTTGAGCACTCCAGGACATGACTATCCCTTGTGTCTCTAAACAAGGAGACGGATGAACAAAGCCTCAGGGGTGGTTCCGAATTAGTAGCGAACCGGGTGGCAGATCGTCCAACAGACTCTGCTGCCTATCCTTTGTAGCAAAGCGGATGCCGATAGAACCAAGGATTATCGTATTGGACAGTAACGCATCAGGTACGAAAATTGCAGGATGAGGTTACAAATGACATATCTTGATTCAACCGAGAGATAAACCTTTCTAAGACGTTAAACAAAGTAAGATGTTGCAATTACAAAGGATTATCTCAATGGAACCGCTACTTGCACTGGTCATGATCACGGGGGATTAAAACCCATCTCACAACTTCGCCCTTCACTTTTCAACTCAAGTTCCAAGTTTTCAAAAGCGTTGATCGCACTCAAGTGAACAATCCTCGTGTAAAAAGTGTACGCATTGTTCGACTTATAGTATCTTTCTTCAGCTTGCCATCTTTATTGGAATCATCTTCTCGCATCTCATCTGATACACTTCCTGATTATATAGTGTGTGCTATAGAGAAAAAATCAAGGGCATCACTCGAATCTAATTCCATTAATCACCAGTATGATAACTTCAATCCCGGCATCAAGGATAGTCACCCAAGATATATGGTTACCAACCCAGATCTGTGACCCTGTATCATCAGCTCACGAGCGAGGTATCCAAATCCTTATCGTCACCTTACCGATCTCCTTACTCATAGTCGGGGTTATCTTACCTCTTCTTTATCTTCATCTTCGATCCAACAAAACCCAGACTTCATATTGTCAATTATGTTCTTCAGTTGGAGACCGTGGTGCAAATTTCTCAACTTCAAATCCTACTAGTTCATTTGAATTTGATGAAGATCGTGTAGAATTATTTCGAAATTGGTGGAAGAAGAAGTGATCAATTTACTGGCTATATTTCTCTTTCTCTTACTTCTCGTTTTCAAAGATCATCATTTGGTCTTCAATTCATTTTTCTGTTTTGTTTGAAAGCATCTACGCATGTCAATCTATTCATTCTGTTTTCTGTTGTCTTTTCTGAGAATGGGCTAGTGGGTTTTGTGAACCTTTATAATGTTTATTTTTTGTGATTCTATTTGGTTAGGTGAAAACAAGGCAACAGACTCAACTTCTTTGAAGGAAGATATAATGATCAATGCTATGGAGTGATAGATAAAGAAGAGCTTGTCATTGTGAGGCAAGGAGAACATCGACTTTGATAGCTTGAAGTTCTAGAATGAGAGGACTACATGTAAAGTGGTGATGTAAACTTGGGACTATGTTAGTGAGAAGCCCTCGTGCGGTTTCCCACAGGTTAAGTTAAGGACTGAGATCAGAAATTGCAAGAGTGGATATCTCTTTGAGACTGTGATCCAATCACACCTTTTGGTGTGATTCGCCTTGGTTTTGAATTTTACATTTGAACCATGAGTTGCAATGACCGACTGTTTCTTGCTGGACTGAATTGAAGCCGGAAAAAAGTAGTCAAGGAAAAGGAGTATCATCTCCATCTTGTTCCTTGGAGAGAAAATGTATGTTATCACTCAGTGATCAATTGTTTGCTACTTCATTTTCAGGCCTTGCCATGCTCTAGAAGCCTGACCTTCTTGTTAATGACCCCAAATTCTATATCTTCCGGTTGATCTGGTTTACCACATGCATCAAGATAAATCTCACCGACTGTGCAGGGACCAGAGCACCGCATGAAATCATTCTAGAGGCTTTAAAATCATGATTCTCTCAAAGGGATATGTTGCACATATGTGCCCACCACCTATGTCAGAAAGTCTAAACATTCTAGTTACAGAGATGAAAAATGGGTATCTGCACTACAACATGCAAAGAAATAAAGAGCAACCATACATGGTAGCAAATGTGGTTTATCTATGTTGATGGCCAAAGGCACGACATCATCTGTGAGTTCCATTGGGATGGGCTACACGGTGTATGAGTCCAAGTACACGCCAGCTTAACACAAGCCCCTAAACCCCTGCAGAGACGTCCCCCACAGCCTGCGGAGGAGGGACTTACGACTTATCAGCACTTTTTAGCCTGATTAGATTTTGGTTTGGCAGAGGCTATCTCCCATCCAAAATTATACGGTCTTGCACAAAACAAAGCCGTCATTTTTTTTAGGAAAGATTATAGAACAAAGTCTTCCCCAGCTTTTGCCCTCTTCAGATCCTTCTCAAGAGGTTTTGCAGTTGAGGGCCTTGAGCACCTCAAGGTAAATTTCAAATTGTATTTTTATTTCATTTTATTTATTTTTTGCTGCAAAGACAGTACATACACATGTGTAGGTGAGTCAAACATGGCTCGAAACATCTTTTGCCTCCAACTGTCTCCGCAGCTCTACAATTGATCAGGTAAAATGTTACACTTTTTGTTGCTCCGATCAAAGCAAGAACTTACAAATCACTGATGTATCTTTTGCTGGAAGACTATGTACAAGATGTGTGAGAATATTTTGTTCAGTTCAGATTTTTCAGGGAGTCCATGATGGACGGAGTAAGGCAAATTTGATCTCATATTGTTGAAAATCCAAAATTTGGGATTCTAATCAGGCTAAAAAGTGCCGATAAGTTAGTTCCTCCTCCGCAGGCTCCAGAGGATGCCTGCGATTGGAGGAGGGACTTAGTTAAGTTAGGCGGAGGGGGGGCTTGCAACTTATCAATGATTTTTGGCTTGATACAAATTTCACTTTGGCAGGAGCTATCTCCAGCGTCCATTTTCACCCCCTTATACACAATAAACCTTCCATCATGCCTATATGAAATTTATAGAAGCATGTTTTTATGAACTTTTGCTCTCCTCAGAATTTCTATAGCTATCCTAGAAACAGTTATATCATCAGTTGAAAAAAAAACAAAAAACAAAATTTGAGATTTTGGTAACTGAGACTGCTGCAATTACAGCTAACTTAACTAAGTCCCCTCCTAGTGTCCGGGGGGGAAAACGCAACAAACCCCGGAGGCATGGAGGGGACTTACATGCTATGTCTGATTTCTTGGTGACAAGGGAAATGACCTTTTGGTGGTAGAAAAGGGTCCCAAAATAAAAGTTTTTTTGACAATTATGAATTTTCTTGTAATTCTCATATCATGTGCGCCTGCTTCTTGCGCACCTTTGCATCTACTCAGATTTTGATCCCTTTCCCAAACGCAAAAGTTTTGGCGATTGATAAACCACGCCGACCTGAAATCACATATGACACCGGTTTTCCTTAGGTCGGATTCCTCTGGAAGTTATACAGTCCAGAACTTCCTGTAAAGGCTTCAGGAGCTTTCTGATGCTTTCTGAAGCCGGCTTCTGCCATCATGAAGTGTGTAAAAGTGGGTGTCATGATTATGATCGCTGACGCCGACTTGCCTACAGTGTGTGACGCCGAGTCTAGATCTCAGCGTAATAGATCGTACGGTCTTTGGCTCGTTTTCAAACACTTTAATCGTTGATTTACGATCTCCAACAGCTTGACCGAGGTTTGCCCCAAAAATCAAGCAATTTGCTGTCAGACCCTTGTCAAGCTTTGTTACATCGACTCACAGTTGGTAGACACAGTCAAGCACAGTCAACATAGAGTATGACACATATGATAATCAATGGGTATCAATAGGTATTGGTGTTATCTTTGAAGTTCAAGTTGACCAGCAAAAGCGGAGAACGGCCCTTATGTATTTCGATTCATTCTATGTACAATATGTATATGTTAGGATCAGATTGTATAAGACCTCAATAGGTTCCTTTCAGCGAGTGCAAGGACTTGTTGAGTACAAAAGTTCATCATAAGTCCTTTGATGTCCTTCGATGTTTGTAATTTCAAAAGTGATCATCCTCGGCTGGAAATATAGCCATCCCATATGCTCGAGAGCTTTCAAGTGTATCTTTAACTTTAGGATCCGAGATCGATATCTTTAGATCGTCCGCGATCAGTCTCAAAGAAACTTCGGGAATCAAAACTGTCCGGACCCAGGTTTCAGGACTGAGAGGCTTTGCTTTTGCGTGTAGGAGTCGATTCGGAGCTTGGGGGCGCAGGAATTGCGAATGAAGTGTTTGATAAATGATTTCTAAGCCTCTGCCCCCATAGCTACAGTCCAACATCAGCTTGGAATCAAATGAGAAACTGACTTGAAGAACAATACTCACTACCCTGGTTGTTCAAGTTCAAATGTGAGATCTCCGTGCCATACACTATCCATTCGACGTGCTCCGTGACTCTGCAAGATTTGCAGTGCACCATTCAAAAAGGTGCTGTCAATTTGGTGATTGATGATATGTTGCAGATCAGGGACAAATTTCTCTACACGACTGGTATCACAAATAGGTAATGGATGTTAGAAATTCCATATGGAAGCCATATGACAGTGATACTCACAAATCGAGTTATTTACATACCTAGAGAGTTCGTCAAAATTGATTGATGAAGGCCAACCATTCTGTTTCCCTATGGGGATGTATTTTTACTCAGCACCATGCATCACACAGAATGCGATGGTCTCAGACATCTGATGAAATTTAAACATGTGTTGATTAGAATGATTGGTGTTACATTAAGAACAAAGAGATGTGAGAGTGTTGGTTGACCGAAATAAGACTTACCGGAAGAGAGACTGCATCAGGATTCCCGGGTCAAGGGGTCTTCTTTGCCTTTGGTCGATCGAGAAGCATTTGCATCAGACTGTGAAGTTTTGGTGAGGGCTGTGATGGGAGTGGGTCATCGCAGAAAGGACATTTTGGTATATTGTCATTGTCTTCTTCCCAATCGGATCTGTTTTGGGCATCAGAATTTGAGTTTGAATTGTCTTCGTCTTCTTCCCAATCGAATCTGTGTCGGTTATCAGAATTTAAGTTTGAATTGCCATTCTCAAGTTCAGGACGTAATGTAGTGGCTGATCGATCAACATCGGTAATATTGATTGGTGTATCTGCATCTGGATCCAGCTGAAGTTCTGCCAAAGTTGGTTCGTGCAGTTGAGGTACGAGTGGGCACTTCTTTTTGTTGTGCCCAGAGCTTTTGCACTTACTACACTTAGGGGGAGCTCTTGGTCTAGGAGCCTTTGGTTCGGTAGCTTTTGGCTCGGGAGCTTTGAGGTACTCAAAACCTGAAGGATCTCGCTGTGTTGATTTAGACTTGGACCAGTTCTTCTTGGAACCAGTTGGGCGACCTCGTGTGTTGATCTTGGTTTCAGGTGCTCTGACTGGTACAAGCTCGTATTGACCACTCTGAACTTTGGTGAGTTCATCATATGCTCGTCGTAGTGCATTTTCAGGAAGATTACATAGACTTTCAGCTTTGCTTTGTAACTCGTTTTTCAAGGCCTCCAAGGATTCTGGAATTGGATCAGCAGTAAGTCGCCACTGGTTGTGAAAGGCTTCAATTGGAACTTGCTGGCCGAGGACAATGTAGGCTTCTATTTGATGTGAGCAAGGAATACCATATGAGGTTGAGAATGATTTGGTGCATGGTTTTCGATTTGGCTTTCCAATGAGTATAAGCTGCTCATGGGCCAATCCAATTGCGTATTGAGATAATTCGGTGTGTAATAAACTAAAGCATTCATTGATGTTGTTGAGTGTCCGTTGAATTTCATTGGATAGCTGACATTCAAACTCGGTGTTTTGATGTTTGACTGCTAGTTTGAAAGCTTTGAAGCAAGCTAGTAGGTCCTGAACCAAAGTTTCAAGGAAGCTTTTGACAAAGTGATGAGAGCCCTCAACACGCGAAGTTGTCTGGTTTCCAAAATGGAGGAAATTGTTTGCAAACATCTTCACATACTTTTCTACAATTGGAAACCAATTTGACTCGAGATACTGAACAATTGTGTGTGAATGACGCTGAGCAATCTTGACCAGTTGGGTCTTATTAGCATGAAATTCATCTTTGGTGCGAGAATCTACAAAGGAATGCCAGCAATCATAAAATTCGTCCCACTCTTTTTTGTTTGTAATGATAGATTGACATTTGGTTAAGATGGCTTTGTTGATATGCCACATACACAAGATATGATTGCTTCCCGGAAAAACATCGGATATCGCTCCAATGAGTGCTTGTTCTTTGTCGGTCACAAAGGTCTTTGGTTGATTGGCGTGGGGCTGGAGGAGTTGGTGAAGCTGTTCAAGTGCCCATGTGTACTCCTGGCGATCTTCTTTGTTCATGAAACAGAAAGCAAGCAAGAAGGACGAATTGAAGCAAGTCGAGCCAACAATGTGTAAGAGAGGCAAGTGGTGTTTATTGGTCTTGTATGTGCAATCTAAGCCAAAACAATACGGAAAGCGACGACCCATTTTGATTGCTGTCGGATGAGCACAAAACAGGGATTCCACGGTGCCATCTGGTCCAAGCTTCATTGAGTAAAACCAGTTTTCTTCCCGAAGTCGTTTGATCAGAGTCACTATGGGTGTTGTTCCTTTGAGTTCAGTCTTTCGAGAGCGGGCTCTCTGATTGTATATGTCTCGCATTGGTCGATGTGCGCTGTCTCCCGGAAGCATGAGCCGAATGGTTCGAGGACGGACATTAGCCTCTGATAAATCATCCATTAATCCTTCCTCTGTAAGTGTGAAACGGCGCAGGCGAGGTAGGTCGCTTGGTCTCTTGAACGGCTTGTGATTGTGACGAGCATGTTGAACTTTGACTCTCCAATGACCTGGCTTTTTCCAGTAGTTGAGAGATACTCCAAACTCACAGCCAGATTTGGCTGTGCTACTCTTTCGTGGTTTTTTCGTGTCCTTTTCCGACTTTGATGTGCCCGATGCTTTATGAAGTTGAACAGATGCAGATGCCTTTGCAGCACGTTTCGTTGTCTGATGACCACGAGTACAATAGAAGTATCGGCTCTGGCGATGGGGACCTTTGTCAGACTTGATAACAATGGCATAACCTTGATGCCTTGCGACAGCCTCCAGGTATTGTTGACCGAGCTCTTTGGAATTGAAGATCTTGCCTTCACGCGGGGGATGCAGTTCACGTTCTGGTTGAACTCCTAATAGGTTATAGGTATTAGACATAGACATATATCAGGCGGGTGTAGTTTTAAAACCAAACTTCTCGGAGGTTGAACATACCTTGAGGAGGCCAGTCTCCATCAATTTGACCACTTTCTTCATCATCAGTTGTATCTGACAACAATAAACACAGGATCAACTCAAACTCATTATACATTCAAGAGCAGGTACACTTACAATCCCCCCCATTCATTATCATCTTTCTCCGACTCATCATCTGACACCTCTCCTTCTGGATTGTCTTTGTTGTTCTCATCATCATCTGTTTCACCATCCATTTCCATCAGGTCTTCAAGTCCTAAATTCAGGTCATTGTTGTTGTTTGAGGTGTGAATCTGTACACTGGAAATAGGGTGGTGAGATAGTGCCGCAGTACTTGAATTATAAGGTGCTGAATTATCATGTCCAAATTGTGCAATTGGCGCATTCATTTGATTACAGAAGTAGTAATCAGACGGATAAGAGTGAGTTAGCTGTGATGAAGCAATGTCTGGGATAAATTGATCAAGAAGGTGATGATTATTGTAAGAATCATGATTTGGATATATATTTGAGGACATTAGATCACAACTTTGATTTTCTGATCGTGATAAACACTCAAACCTGAATAGCTACTTGGTCTTGATGGTTGAAGTGAAATATTGAGGAATTGTGGTTTGTAGGGGATGGATCACAAGCCGAGCAGACTTGCAAATTTCTTCACTCAATTGTTTACAGGCATAGTTTCATAGCAAGGGGTCTCAAGGGGAACAAGCACTTGTAGTTCACAATGTCAGCTCTCTGATCAGAGCTTCAAAACGATCCCAATGGGATGACGCCTACTTCCCATCAGAAAAACCGGTGTCAGACTCTTACGGATGCCTTTACAGGCAGCGTACAGCCCTTTAAGGTGTTTGAAGGCAATGTACACCTGTATATTACCTGTACAGCTTCCAGAGGAATCCGACCTAAGGAAAACCGGTGTCATATGTGATTTCAGGTCGGCGTGGTTTATCAATCGCCAAAGTTTTTATTGGGCTCCAAACAAGGTCTTTTGAAGTTTCAAAGTTGCAACTGCGGCTAATAGTACAAGATATGTAACATATCTATATGTGAAACGTGAAAAACACAAAAGGAGCCAGGCGTGTTGGAATTTCATCGATGCTGTCTCTGGATTGTGGCTGTCTTGACATCAAGGTCAAACCTCAGAAAACATGTCACAGCCAAAAATTTGTATGCGAAGTTCCTTGGAAAAATATAGCAAGCTCCCCGACATCCTAGACATTGGTTTATCAACCCCAGCTTTGAAGATTGAAACTCCCACACTTACTAAAAAGCTGCTGCAGTCCAGCACAGCGGAGCAGCAAGAAGCAGTGTCTATCTGCTTTGGGGAGAAGTACCTGGATCAAAAACCAACACGGGTTCAAATCAACTCTAGGGTCAGCCTGATAAACGGGGACCATACCTTTCTATTGGCTGGAACGGGATCCGGAAAGAGTTGAGTTCCTGAGTTGTTCTTCCACATGTTTGCCAAGGTCAAAAAACCTGCAGTTCTAGTTTTGAATCCTCTGGACACACTCGGGAACAATCAGGTCAGTTTCACCAAACTTTGGAGAATGTTGTATCATGCAAGTTCTGACAGGATCTACTTATGATTTCCAATCTCAGGTCTTGGAAAAGAGTCGCATTGGGATCACTGCCATTAATCTCACTAAGACCACATTTGGTCCAGAAGAGTTGGCGAAATTGAAGCAACATGCCTATTTGTTCATCTACTTGGTCAGTAATCCTTGACACCAATAGTGGATTTTCTCACGAATTGACAGTTGTATTTTTCAAAAAGAGCCCAGAGATTTTCCTTAATAGCGAGGCTTTTCAAACCTTGTATCACAGCAAGGACTTTCAGCGTCATCTTATATTAAAAGTAGTCAATGAAGCTCATTGTATATACCTCTGGGGCCTTCAGGCTAGCGGGAAATCAAGAAATTTCTCTAAACATGTTACCCCCGAAGATGTTGGCCTATTTAGGTCATCTTATGGCAACCTCGGGCAGCAGCTTATGGCCACCGATGGAGTCCCAGTGCTGCTGATGTCTGCGACTTGTCGGCCGTCACCAATCAAGGCAATACAGTCAAGCCTCAATATCTTGCCAAAACATATGACGGTGATCCAGGGAGAGCTCACTCGTCCGGAGAACTGTTTCATTCGTATCTATCTTACTTGACCGTTAAAGACGGCGGAGGATCTTGAATTTTTATTCGCTCCAAAATCTGTGATATCAGATGAAGATATCACTCCAATGCTGATATACTCGGGCACTTGGAATGGCACCGGAACCGTAATCAACGGTGTTTGTAAAGCACGTGGTGACCCCAACGACGCTTGTAAAGGCGACAGTACTTATATCAGGCAATATCACTCAGTAACCGGTGATCAAGACCAGCTTACACGTGTGGAAGATTATGGCGCAGGGAGATTTCCAATCTTGTCGTGTACTTCTGACCTCAAGATGGGTCAGAATTGGACACGTGGGAGGGTAGTGATTATTTTGGGCACGATGGACCCAGCTGAGTCAAATCAAATGGCCGGCAGAGCGGGGTGTGGTGGCCATGATGGCCTAGTAATTCATTTTGTTCAGCCTACTATGACTCCAGGAAAAAACTCACCGGGCGAGTTCAACGTCGGCCCCTATATGTTGGATGAAGATTGAATGCACGCTCTTTGAGTGGCACCTTGTTGCCTTCAAGCGGCCTATTTGGTTGATAGCTTGTGAGTTGATCAAACACTTATGTCAGTCAATGGAGGGTTTACATTTCTGCTCGCTGGACCTGAGCGATTAGGAAAGGCTACATACTGGTCTCCCTGTTGGATCCAGGATATCTAGGTGAACTTGAACGCGAGCAAAAAGAAAATATAACACCTTGTAGGTGTTCCCAATGTGATCCTCAAGGTTGCGCTCGGATCCTACGCTTGCTTCCATCTACACGTGCCAACGAGTTTGATAGTCTCATGACCTCTGCGCCTACACCTTCACACACTGAAGATGCCAGCATATTCAACCTACCCAAAAAAATCACCAAGCGCAAGTTCTCAGCCAATGTCCCTCTTGTATGCAAGAAAACCAACCCAATACGACTTAGTGTTCCTATGATTGACCTCGTCGTGATCTTCCTTGGGAAATTTGCTGGTATGTTTCGAGATACATATGCAAATGCTTCTCATATGTTACCAGATGCTTTGTTTGATCGTGAAGATGCGTGGCAAGTGGTGAAAAATTATGAGGCAATCCACAACGGTGTATTCATCCGTGAAATCTTAGGAGGTGAGACACTTCCAGGTCAGTTTACACTGGTACATGATTGTGTAGACATGTGGATGAAATCTCCAGTTTATCTCCAGCATCAAGCACAACTTGAAGAAGAACAAATAAGACTTGAACAAGGGATTCTTGATGCACATCTGATTGAAGAGGAACATAAAGAGCAAAATCAACTAAAACAGCTAGCAATCAATGAGAAAAGGGCCGCCATCGCCGAGCGCAAGCAAATCCAAACTCAAAAGGCTCTGGAGAAACAGGCCGAGAAATATTCAAAGTTGAAACAACGGCAACAACTCCTGGGAAGCGAGGTCAGTCAAAACAAACTAATCTTCATCCGACGCCAAGCATTCATCCACAGCAGTGTTCCTCTCTTTCATAGATCCCCAAATGAAACGCGAAGGAATTCTTTTCCTCGATTCCTCCTTCAAGATGAGTTTAAGTTTACTTATTCCAAGGGTTTCGATATCATCGACCTTGTCATTATTGTTTGTATCTCTGCTGTTGGTTGGAATCGCTACATCACACATGTGAACTTGCGCCATAGTCAAGAAGGACTGCGTTGACGCCTGGGTGATGCAATGAGGCTTTGTTTGATGGATGTCCTTGAGGCCAGAACACTGTTTCATCTGTTGAATTTATTTCCGTAGCTTTTTGAAATATGTCACCGTATCAATTGGAGTTTTTTATAACATCTATGTGGGGATAAACTGAGCTCACCAGTGGTATGATGATGGAAAACCTTTCCATCAGCCGATTGATCTTGGTTCCTTGTCCCTTTGGGCAAGAGGTATAATGTCAGCAATGTTATGCCAATTGTCAAATAAAGAATTGGATGCATACATACAGAGTTGTTAAAAAAATACTTGAGCCAATAATTTTGAATCTCAAGATAAAAGTCCTTTGCTACCCAGTGGCCATCTCGGCCACCGGTTGGAATGAGAAGCAAATGTTTGATCGCTTTTGCCATTGCGCTGGGTAACACTACGCCAAATTTAAAATTTACCGCTGAGTTTAGAAAATTAAGCAGACATAGAAAATTATGGAAAAGCTGGGAGGGGTCAGAAAAATATGAAAAAAAATTGGTTGGGCCCTTTGGTGCATTCCAATCATCTGGCATATTTTTACATATTTTTACAACCACAATGCAAATAATTTCAGAAACCCAATTTTGGTCCAAAACTGGCAGGTAGAGACACAGTGACCTTGCAACACCAACAAAATCATCAATTTTGCTCCAAAACATGTAGTGTCTTGACATTCTGAATGCCACTCTGGCTCTACAGCTTGGGTGCACAAAAAAGTTGTGTGTCTCCAAGAATGGGTGAGATATATCAAGAGATGTACACAGCAGGAACCATATATAAGCATAGAAGCCATTACTACAATGGCTTCAGCACCTTAATAAACCTTGTAGAGCCATCATGTGGCTTCCATAAATTGCAAGTGTTCAGATGATTGAACAAAAATACTCATATCTTTGTGCTTGGAGGTTTTTGCCCAAATATTGCTAGTTTTGGACCAAATTTGAGTTTCTGACATAATATCCCCTGTGAGCATTTTGCTTTGGGAAGACTTCAAAAATCATGGCAAAAATATGCAAAAATATGCAAAATTAGGGGACAGCACCCATGAATGGAATCATTATTTTTTCAAATTTTTCTGACCTCTCCTGTATTGGTGATATTTTTCTACAGTTTCAATTTTCTAAACTCAGTGGTAAATTAGTGATCTGGCGTAGTGTAAGTTCTTTTCAAGTATCAAGATCAAACGGGGCAGATGAATGGCATAATGCGAGAGGCCAGAAGTCCCCTGAGCCATTATAGACCACCTCTTCCACATCAACATAACTTTACCGATGTCGCCGGCTCTCATCGCGTTGTCACCCTTGACAATGGAGGCGAAGTCGCGAAGTCTAAGGCGCATACACCACCAACATATTTACCTTGGATTACAAAATCTGAGGTATCCTCGGATGCAAAACCTCGGACAGAAGCTTCCCGAGGTTTTGATCCGAGGTAATTCTCAGGGCAAAAAAATACCTCGGGCAAATACCTCGGACAAGGTTTGTCGGAGGATTTGCCTCCGATGATGCCTCGGATTTCTCAACCCGAGGCATCTATGCTGGCAGTGATATTATACATAGACCAGTCACCTGCTTTGGAAGCATCAAGCAAAGATTGACGAGTGAAGTACTTGTCATAGCATGAGTCCACAATAGATTGGGCTACCCTGCGCGAGTCCAGCCTCACCTCGTTTGGCCAAGCTTCGATAGTTTGCCTGAACATTCAAAAAAAAGTCAGGTCACACATGAGTTTGGGGACACATAAGACATTGCTTTGGTACATACTTCAACAAGAAGAACATTGTTGCTGTGTGACCTTTGTGGATGACTTGCATCAACGAGTTGAAATCTTGCTGCGATGGTTGCTTGTCCGTTTTCATTCCGAGGGCGGCGGCTGTCCTATGTAAACCGGTGTTTGAGCTGTAATTTGGATCACCCCAGTGGTGACTTAGTATCTTACTCACAATGTTCCAAAGAGTATGTGATAGGCCCGGGAGGTTAAGGACGTTCTGTAGAGCCTCTTCTTGATGCCCAGCTGGAAATCTTTGACGTATCAGCGATTCGAAATTCAGGCAGGTGCCCATGTCGCCCTCAATGACTTGGAGGCACTGGCTGAAAGTGGACGGATTGTGTCCAGTCTGCTTGTTACACTGAGTAAGCATCTCGGCGACTCCAGACGCCGAGTTGTCAGAAGCACTCATCATTTTCAGCATGAATATCTTTGGCGTATACATCATGATTTGGTCAATGCAAGGGGGTGCGGTGGTTAAATCACTTTTAGAACACTCGTATTCGGGAGTGTCTTTCTTGAGTACGTAATCAAGCAGAGCTTGCGAGAGCTGGGATTTGAGGACACTAGTCCAATGTTTGCTTTCATCCACAGTGGGCAGCAAAGAATATATCTCGAACTGCTCTTTTTGGCTTTGGCGGATACACTTTCAAAGGTTTGCAACACTGGCATCCACTGGGTCGATTTCTTTGAGTAGATGGTCTGGAATGACGTGTGAATATACGTATGAACCATGAAACATCTTGGTGGTCGATTCGGTGCGCGGATCATGAACACGAGCCTGAATGTTGATGTTATCCAGTACTAGTAATGGGCGGATGGTGTAAGGCCGAGCACATAAGTCCTTGATGGACTTTTGAGCGGCAACCCCGAGTGTATCCATGGCAGACAGAGCTGTCTGTCTGGACAAGGTTAATCCAATAAAGTGAAGATAGTCATTCACCCGGTCAGAGACTCCACATGCGACAAATGACAGGGAGTTCTGTAATTGGAGCCCATTGAATCTTCTGTTGCAGGCGAAGGCTATCATGGATAACACTACAATTGGAATCTAACATCATGAGTCAGCATGGTAAAACCGGTTGGTCAAGTGGTCATTTTAGGTAACTGCTTACTTCTCTGAGTCGATGTGAGTCTAGATTGGTGTTGTCCATTTGAACCGAATGAGAGACCCCCTCAAGATGTTCAGCAAAGTCTACTTCATGACCAGCGCTCTCACTTTGGTCTACACTAGTGCTGTTGCTGGTATCTGTCGATGCATTGTTGATTCGATTTTTTTCCCGAGTTACGTTGGCTTCTGTGATTTTGGAGTATATCAAAGCATGGAGGAATGGCATACTCTGGCAAATGAGCTTTGCACGGTCTTGTTCAGCTGGAGTGTCCAAGAATGATTCATCGAGTTTGTTTGCACTGTAGAAACCTCCTTTGGGGGCTGCACCTCGTGGTAGCTCTTCTTGATTGACAATTGCCTGAGCCTGTAGAGAACCACAGGCATGTCAGTATAGAGGACCATGAGGACTCAGGAGCATGTCCGCCCTCAAGGAAAATTGTTCACCTCTGTCAGAATGAAGTGGTTCCATCTTGCTGGTCCAGTGCGATCTGGACCGCACAAGATTTGTCTCTTGATGCTGAGCAAAATCTCCTCAGTTGAAGCCCAACCTGTAGAGGTGCCCCAGAACTGACGCCTCTTGAAAATCTTGGGTTTATCTGAATCCAGTAAGTTCTGTAAAAAATTTTTGGGATTTGATCCAAGCTTTTGGATGTAATCACATATGTCAAGTGTATGATTTTTGGATCTTGCTTTTGCTTCGTGGTTCAGGTCTTTGTGTCCATCAAGCTCATGTTGGGCTTGTTGCGCATCCTCACTAGCAGCTGTTGGTATGTTGGTAGATGACATATTGGAAATTTCAGCCAAATGATTTTGATGCAAGTTGGTTGATATGTGAAAGAGTTGAAAGAGTAAAAGGATATGCAAGGAAATTGTAGTGACAATATTGAAGGGAACAGACGGGCAGGCAAGACCAAAACAAGGTAAACAGTGATACATTTAATACTTGAACACATCAACACTATCAGGATCCTTCCTGCCTCTAAAGGCAAAGTCATGGCCAAGCAAGCCTTGCTGGTCTACATGTCCATCACAGGGCTATTTTCTACGTGGTTGACACAGAGAAGGTCCTGTGAGACGAGGGGAGAGGCCCAGTATGGGTCTGATGCTCTTGGATTGTCAAGGGTTGTGATATTTGATGGATTCCAAATCTGTTTTGAAGATTACATATGGGCCACAACAGTTGTAACCTCGCAGCAGATTTGAAATCGAGAATTCAAGAAGAGCTTGTTTGGAGCCCAATAAAAACTTTTGCGTTTGGGAAAGGGATTGAAATCTGAGTAGATGCAAAGGTGCGCAAGAAGCAGGCGCACATGATATGAGAATTACAAGAAAATTCATAATTGTCAAAAAAACTTTTATTTTGGGACCCTTTTCTACCACCAAAAGGTCATTTCCCTTGTCACCAAGAAATCAGACATAGCATGTAAGTCCCCTCCGTGCCTCCGGGGTTTGTTGCATTTTTTCCCCCGGACACTAGGAGGGGACTTAGTTAAGTTAGCAATTACAGTCACTTTACACACAAGAGTCTTGATTTCTCTCTGCTAACGCATAATCTCTCTGCCATCCTTGTCAGAGACAGAGAGAAGCATCCACAGTCCTCTAATTTTGGCTCAAAAACTTGTGGCTCTTCACTGTCACCTCAAGCAGATATCTTCTTATCAAGGCAAGTAGAAAGTGAGGGCTATTATGTACAACATGCATCTGCAAAGGACAGTGTGTTCAGAATTTCCAAGTTGTTGATAGGAAATGCTGCAGTGTTGATTTTGATGAAAAAACACTGAAAGTCGTGAATACCAGATTGGTATCAAGCCAAAAGATTGTATAAGTTGTAAGTCCCTCCTCCGCAAGCTCCGGGGGACGTGCACGGTTTGAGGAGGTACTTAGTTAAGTTAGAAGTACACAGGGCGAGGACAATGCCTGGCCTCCCAGAAGACAGGCAATACAAGACAAAAAAAATCACCTTCACAGTTCTGTACATACACCTCAGATTTGAATTCATAAATCTCAATACACCCCAGGCAAATTGAGGTCATGGAGTGAATACAGGTTGTGTGGTCATGTTGAAAACAGAATATATTCCCACACCCTGGGTCATGTCACAGCTACATGACATGTCTTCATGAAGCACACCACTGCCAGTGATACCAGTGACATGTGTGAGGGCCCTACAAGAACGGTGCAATTCAAACCGCTGTGTTGATAAACTTATGGGATCAGTCAGAAACAT